TCGGGGCGTTGATACTTAGAATAGGGTTTTGGGGCCCATTATACTATAGTTATCATAAGGAACCCCAGTATAGGTACCTCTTAAGGCCTTTATATTAGGGGTTTCGGTGCTGCGGATCTGAAGCTTCCGGCTGTCAGACTGGGGCGCGAGGAATCAAAGGCCTCCAGGCTTTGCTCTTTCCCGCAAGGAAGGAGTTTGGAGTTTAAAGGACGCCCAGCGGACTACCGACACAAGAGAGAGAGTGAGAGAGAGAGAGGGAGAGAAAAGAAAAACAAGACAGAGAGAGAGAGAGAGAGAGAGAAAAAGAAGATAGAGAGAGAGAGAGGAAGACGGAGACGGAGACAGAGGAACAAGTGCACAGGAATCTCTCAGCCCTAATGTCTGCGCCTCAATGACTCAAGCAAGCCTTCGTACTCTCACGACTGGAGCCATGCGGAACCTCAAGGTAAACCTTGGCAATACGACTTGTTTGCAGCTTCTATATGAGACTTGTGGCCCATCTTCAGAAGTCCACAGACCTTTACTGGGATTCCTTATTATAACTATAGTTTACTGGGCCCCAAAACCCTATTCTAAGTATCAACGCCCCGACATTTAGGCGCCGGGCGTGAATCGTTCGAGGTTCGCCAGGCGCTCGTCCCGGGGCTGCTCCAGGATCCGAAGCGCCTGGGGGATTTTTTGAAGGCCCTATATTATGACCATTTTGGAGGTTTTTTTAATATAGTTATAGTATAATATACCCCAAAACCTTTTCCTAATTATGAAGGCTTTGGGCTTTTCGGGCTGCCGGCTCCAGGGCTTTATAAGCTCTTTAGGGTTTAGGGTTTAGGAGTATATGGGTTTCAGGGTTTAGGGTTTAGGGTATATGGGTTTCAGGGTTTTAGGGTTTAGGGTATATGGGTTTTAGGGATTTAGGGTTTAGGGGTATATGGGTTCTAGGGTTTTAGGGTGTTAGGGTTTTAGGGTTTTAGGGTTTAGGGGTATATGGGTTTTAGGGTTTAGGGTATATGGGCTTTAGGGTTTTAGGGTTTAGGGGTATATGGGTTTTAGGGTTTCAGGGTTTAGGGGTATATGGGTTTTAGGGTTTAAGGTTTTAGGGCTCAGTAGGATTCTCAAGGTTCTGGGCCTGCGGGTTTAGACTTTCGCAGGGACCTGTGGAAGCTTGGGGTTTAGGGTTTAGGGTTTAGGGCACTTTCGGCTGAGGGCCAAAAAGAATGAAGCGGGATACCTGGACCGTGAACCTGAAAACGCTCAACCGGATATACTGGAAGATCCTTGAGGAGTGGACTGTAGTTGATCAGGGTTTCAATAGCTAGAGTAACGGTCGATACTCCTTAAACATGCAACTTGCAACAATGACAACAATGTAAACTTACCATAACAAGAGAAGGCTGGTCAGACTGGTATTGATGCCAATGGCGGCAGTAATGACTACAACTGCAGAAGCAGTAGCTGTCGTCTATCTGCGATGGTAGTGGTGGTAGTAGTGGTTGTTGTCGTCGTCGTGATGCTGGTCGTGGTACTGATTGGAGGAATGATCGTACAAATAATCGCTCCGGTTATAACAGGACGGCTGTCATATTCATTATATGTAAAAAGAAGCCAGAACAATGCCCTCGACTCACGGGGACGCTGCATCGTTGAGGGCGGCAGCATGGTCACCTCGGGTTAATGTTCAATCAGATCCGCCGAAAGAGCCTCTCCCCACTTAGAGGTTACTGGGCAGTTGTTAGGAGGGTTTTTAGTCCCGTAATATGGGTTATCACCATAGTTGCCCTACTTTTTACCCCACTTATAACTACCCATGAACCTCCAAGTAGCCTTATCTAGCGTCCTGTAAGGTTTCACTAGGATTTCAGCGTTCACAGTGGAGTTCATCGGAGTTTGCTGGTGCTCTATACCGCGGTTCAGAAATGGTTTTAAAGCGTTCTGGATAGGTTTCGAACGTTTAGGTCTTGTAAATTTTATATATGGTCTTTGGAGTCCCGGTCTCTTGCGAATCGAACCAGAGAGCCCATCCCCAACCCGAAACCCTCTGCACCAAAGCCTCAGTCCACTGTCCTGAACCTTCATGTGGCTTTTGAGGCTGCCTGGAAACATGAATGAACGTTGTGGCCGAGATGTCAACCATGACAATAATGATTGAAAGAAATGGTGAAGAGCAGAACTCCTCCCACAATGATGTTGTGGATGTTGATGGTGGTGATGGCGGTGGTGATGGCGATTGTGTTGTTGGTGGTGAATCTAACAAATCGCGAAAGTTTTGTATGGAGCAAGTGTTCCACACCCTCCAAGTCGCCTCTGCGCAACCTTCTTCAAACATAAGCCCGAAGCCCGATCTTCAAGACCTAGTTGAACTCCCAAAGATAGAGCACAACGACATGTCGGATGCGACGGACGTGGTCAAGCGCCGCCCCAAAGACCGAACCTGAAACCCAAACAGCCCCAACCTCAACCCCCCAAGTTCCGGTTCCGGCTAATAGAAGTCCCTATACCGCGAGCCTCCGAACAGACCCCGACATCCTAAAAGCTCCGGCGCGCTCGATTCTCGCAACCCTAACCTCTCAAAACACCCTTGCAAGACTGCCTAAGCCCTATGTGAAGCCCTCTACGAGAACGTACTTAAACCCTGATTAAACCCTAAACCCTAAACCCCAAACCCTACCACCCTCCTTAGCTCTGAGGCCGCACTAACTCTGAGGCCTCTGCTCTCAACGGAAGTTAAGAAGGACGAGCCGGAACCTGACCGACTGCATGCGAAGAGGGCAAGGCACCAGGAGACTGCATTTAGGGGCTCTGGGACTTAGTAAGGCTACAAGTACCCTAATTGGGACAAAAAGTTATTATAAGTCCGCCTACGTTCTTTATAACCCTAGTTAAATAACCCCACGGCCGCCTAAGCAGGTTTCGATAGATAGATAGATAAATAGATAGAAAGAGAGGTACTTAGCTGGCGAGCTAGCTACATAGAAGATAGATCTATAGGTCTGCATAGATACATATACATACACATATAATTACATACACATGCGAGAGAGAGAGAGAGAGGGGTCGCCGAGGCTTCTGGCCTGATGCTTAGAGTTTGGGCTTTGAAGTTTCGGTCTTAGGATCAGAGCTTGGTGTTTTTGGGTGTTATGGCAAGCATTTAAGGATCAGGGCTCTCAGGCTTAGGGCTTAAGCTTGAGGGGCTTACCTTGAAGCTCAGGGTCCTAGGGCATGAATCCTTGATATGCTAGAGCTTCGGGTGAAGGGATCTTGGGGCTGCTCTCTCGCTGAATGAGGGCCTCAATACTCAAACTAGGATTATGGCGCGTATTCTTCTAATGCATCGTGTTATGATATACTGTATCATACTATAATGCACTCTGGTATCATAGTGGGGAGCCCTCAGGAATAACAGCACATACTAAAAATATGCAGCCTTTCAATGTCCAGCTTCTCAAGCCGTAGATTTCGGGTCCAGGGTCTCACTTCTTCCAAAATCGCTACGAGCCGCCCTAAGTTAATACGGGGGCCTTCATAGTTAGAATATGTGTTGGGGGCCCAAAATGCTACACTTACACACGGAACCACCAGAATAGTATAGGCCATTTTTTTAAGCCCCTGTTTTATAGAAGCCTAGTATAAATCCCTTATGGATCCCTTGAAGGAACCCTTAAGGATCCCTTTTAAGGCCCCCAAGTAAATCCCAAAGAGCCTCGCTGTGAGCCGCCTTCCGACATCGCTCCGCGGATGCTCTTCGGTGCTCATGTGCACGGGCTCACAGACGGCTTTAGGGTTTAGTTTAGGGATTTCGAAAACAAGGTTTAAAAAATATGTTTTAAACAAACCCTCGACATCCAAGGATGGTTCCAAAGTAGGGTTTTGGGGTAAATTATACTATACATATAATAAGGAGCCCCCAAATATAGGAGTGTGGGGTTCCTTGAAGGGCTCCGCAAGGGCACAACAGGGGTGCACCGTAGGGTTTAGGATTCTCATACCAGGATCTTGAGCAGTTGGGGGCACTCCTGAAGGTGTTGGGGCCTCATTGTCGAAATTGTGCCCTCAAGGCGAAAGCAGAGAATCAAAAACTCCAAGGCTCAAGGTCTGGTGTAGCACCGGCATCACGGCTATCATTGGGTTGGTGCCTCATCGTATCCCTTAGAACTTTGTGGCTGCGGAAAGCTGGATGCCGGTTGCTGCTGCTTCAACTGCTCATGAAGCAAAACAGTCTTCGCAGATTCAGCAACACTGCAGCCGACACCCCAAGCCTTTTCTTACCCCGGAGGTTAGACAGCGCAATTAATGAGCTTGGATTAAAAGGCAGCTGGGCAGTATCTCGGCTTCTGCAAGGAAAGAGTGTCAAATCTCCGCCTCCTTAAAATGTCACTATTCCGTTCAATGGCCTTGTGCATCCCTGCGCACCCGACAACCCAAACTCTGAACTGAACCTTAAAACATAGCATCTGCTAGCGATTCAGTCTGTCTTTTTGGCGGCGCTGTTCGGCAATGCAGGCGAGAAGCGACACCAAGCTAACTCGGGAGAGGCATGTACAATGAGACAGTAGATTTCCATGCCTGGTTTAGGATTTGGGGTACCGTGCTTATGTTGAACTGACATCCGCTCCAGGTATGGCGCTGCATTAAATCATCAAGCCGAGCTACTACAGTATAGCCTGTAGCGGAAGCAGGCGTACGTTGACATGGGGAATTCTGTTCTTCGAGACCATAAGACTTGAGCAGTGGATGATTCCGGGAAAGAACCCCAGTGAACATCTGAAGCATTGTAACCTCAATACCTCGGCTGTCGCTCGTGACGAAGACTACAAACCTGCCTTCAGACTCTGGACCCCAAGCCCTGCACTCCTCGAGATTGTTCCTTTAAGCTTCCTACTGTTTCTCTTTGGACTTCGAGGTTTCGGAGCTTTAGAGTCAACTTTGCTCTATGATGTCGTTGTACATGCTTCGTGATCTACGAAACGCAGGGAAAAGCTTCAAAGGCTCCGTCCCTGTTGAATTCAGAAGGCTGTCACCTTCTTCACGGCATCCAGGACCTTCACAGCACAGGCACATGCTCGACCCGAAAGAATATGATCCCTCAACCCTGACCAAACCAGCAAAGGCAACGCGAAACATGATAATACTACCTGAAGAGTCGTAGTTCGAACGCTAGTAATGCAGCAAGCATGCCGCGATGTTCAATACCACGGGGACACGGCGAGCCTAACTGACTAGCCCCGTCGCAGGCTGAATGCGGTTTGAGCTAGCATTTCGGATTTTAGGCGTTGGCAATTGTCGCCTCATTGCAGAGACTAAACTTCGGGCTTCACGTCTTCCCACTCCTGGAACAAAGCGGGTTCAGGTTTCACAGCTCCAACTCCCATGTAAACCCCGAACATCCCCGAACTCCAAGCTCTCGTCGAATCCACAAGATCCGATCCCTTTTCGACATGATTCTGAGGATGCAACAGAAACGCATGGCTTAGTCAGCCCTAAAAGCATCTTTGAGTGGGATCCGCACCCTCAGCGGCGTGGGCAGGTAGAACTCTTCAAAGGCCAGCGGAAAGGGCGTGTCCTTGCGTCACAGATTCCGGGTGAGGGCTCCTACACTTTCGGGGTTTGGCGTTTCGGCCTTAAGGAGGTTTAGGGTTGGGGTTCCCGGAGTGTGAGGGCTGGCTGTAGGGTTTTGGGCTCGGAGGGCAAAGGGGTTTAGGCTTCAAGCAACTGCGATTCGGAGATGTATATTCGCTGGCTGTAGCAAGGCTCCAGGGCACATGTTGCCCATGCAGAACTGGCTGAACCCTGACACCTTCGAGCTTGCCCAAATCCTGAAACCCCCTTAATTCCCTTGGCTTGAAACTCATGAGCTTCTAGCAAACTCCGTTAACCGTGACGTCGCCGATCACCGGGGTGCAGGCCCAGCCACAGACGCGTTGGACTGGGGCCTGCAGTTGGGACGCTTCAGGATTGGGGGATAAATGCTGCAGAAAGGGAGCGGGAGTAGAGTTGAGAGTTTCGGACTACCGGGGACTACCGGTTTGGGCCAAGAACCCATAAGGCCCTAAATCCTAAAATCTTTCAGCATGACGACCCACGGGATGCGTGGGGCGGCTGCGGCTTGTCATTCTAGCGTCTCCAGGGTGGTCGAGCTTTACCGCCTGTGCGAGTCTTCAGCGATGTCCGAATGTCTTAACGTCACATGGAAAACGGCTGGAGCCTTGGAAAGCAGGCTTACACATGTAACTCAAAGACAGGCTTTCTTCGTTTTGCTTTGATCATGCTGTTTTGCCATATGTCCTATGTTGTTGGTGCATGTGCTCTTCTCTATCTACATGTTCTCTTTACTTTAGCCCGAATCGGGTTTTCGCTACTAGGGTCCACTGCACAAGTACCCCAGTCCGAATCGGACTTCCGCCATTGAGAGAGTGCGGCTCCTACTCCGGACTAAAGCCTAAGAACGGCTAAGCTCAAAACCCCAAAATCCTGCACTCTGCATGACCCTAAATCGATGATCGAACAGGCAACTACAAAGCTTTTTGCGACTCTCTACGCAATCCTGTAGTGCCCCCTGCCTCCAGCTTCAGGAAACACTTCTCCTGCCTCGGGCATTACCCCGACTCTTTATGTGAAGCCGGTTTAAGCAGGCTCGGATCGTTGAGTGCTTAAGGTTTGCTCCGCTGTAGCACTGTGACTGTTGTTGTCATTCTCGGATACCTTTGCCGATTTGCTATCCAAGAATTTCGGATGCTGCACGGTTGGTAATTGTAACTAGGAGGGAGCGCGTGCTGCGTGGCAGCGGGGGTTTGGCACTACGATGAGGACAATGAGGATGATGGTGGTGAAGGTGATGATAGTACTAATGACGGCGATGGTGAAGATTGTAAGGATGACTGCAGATGGCCAGTGAATCATGATCATCCTCGTGGTGGTGAGGGTTAGCATCATTACTGACACATTGCCGCCATAATCATCACCATGAGCAGCATCGTCAAAAGCAACATCATCGTGTCATTTGTCTCTCACAGAGAGCCCCGCCGAAGACCCAATGTGGCCGAGCTCTTGCCGGAACTTACTTGTGCTCGTGCAACCCCGCATACAACCTCATCTCGCAAGCCGTACAATGGAACTTCTAAACGACGGTAAAACAAATCACAAACCTATGAGCCAGAAGCGCTACACCATGCCAGCCTTAAAGTCGACACCTGACATGTATTCCACACACAAACCCAACTAAACCCAACCGACAACCACCCCCCGCACGTGCAAACCCGGACCAGCCCGCCAAGAGTTCAGCTAACTAAACCCCTAAACCCCCTCTAGACCCCCCTAAACCCCTCCACACCCCCCTAAACCCTTAAACCCTCCAAACCTCCTTGACCCTCCCCTAGCCTCTCAAGCCCCCAAAACCCCAAAAGCGCCAGGGCTCCCGGCACCGTGGCCGCCAGCTCCGCTCCGAAGCCGCTCGTCTTCGGCGCTTCGTGGGCCACGACCTGGGCTTGGCAACTTCCTTAGGGTTTAGGGTTTAGGGTTTAGGGTTTAGGGGTTTAGGGGTTTAGGGGTTTAGGGTTTAGGGTTTAGGGTTTAGGGTGTGTCCATCGTGTTCGCTCGCTCGGGTGTAGAGCACCCCGAGCCGCTCGCTCCAGCGTAGCTCAGTTTTTCCCACCCTCGCCCCACCCAGACTCAACTCTTTTAGGGTTTAGGGTTTCTACCCCCCAACCCCCCTATCAAGGGGGGCTTTCCCACGAGCGACTGCTAAAGCCAGCAGCCAAGTACGTGGCGGGGGGGTCCCTTACGGGGCTGGGTCCCTTCACAGAGAAGGACGACGAAGAGGCTTACGGGAAGACTGTGCCTTTACGGAGCACTTTACGGGGAGGGAGGGTCCTTACGGGAACGGCCAGTCCTTAGGGTGGGGTCCCTTACGGGGCTGGGTCCCTTCACAGAGAAGGACGACGAAGAGGCTACGGCGGAGCCCCTTACGGGAAGGGAGGGTCCTTGCGGGAAGGGCCAGTCCTTACGGGGAAGGTCCCTTACGGGGCTGGGTCCCTTCACAGAGAAGGACGACGAAGAGGGGAGGGAGGGTCCTTGCGGGAAGGGCCAGTCCTTACGGGGAGGGTCCCTTACGGGGCTGGGTCCCTTCACAGAGAAGGACGACGAAGAGGCTTACGGGAAGACTGTGCCTTTACGGAGCCCCTGACGGGGAGGGAGGGTCCTTACGGGAAGGGCCAGTCCTTACGGGGAGGGTCCCTTACGGGGCTGGGTCCCTTCACAGAGAAGGACGACGAAGAGGCTTACGTTACGGGAAGACTGTGCTTTTACGGAGCCCCTTACGGGGAGGGAGGGTCCTTACGGGAAGGGCCAGTCCTTACGGGGAGGGTCCCTTACGGGGCTGGGTCCCTTCACAGAGAAGGACGACGAAGAGGCTTACGGGAAGACTGTGCCTTTACGGAGCTTTTTACGGGGAGGGGGTCCTTACGGGAAGGGCCAGTCCTTACGGGGAGGGTCCCTTACGGGGCTGGGTCCCTTCACAGAGAAGGACGACGAAGAGGCTTACGGGAAGACTGTGCCTTTACGGAGCTTTTTACGGGGAGGGAGGGTCCTTACAAGAAGGGCCAGTCCTTACGGGGAGGGTCCCTTACAGGGCTGGGTCCCTTCACAGAGAAGGACGACGAAGAGGCTTACGGGAAGACTATGCCTTTACGGAGCCCCTTACGGGGAGGGAGGGTCCTCACGGAAAGGGCCAGTCCTTACGGGGAGGGTCCCTTACGGGGCTGGGTCCCTTACGGGGCTAGGTCCCTTCACAGAGAAGGACGACGAAGAGCTTACGGGGAGGGAGGGTCCTTACGGGAAGGGCCAGTCCTTACGAGGAGGGTCTAAGGGGCTGGGTCCCTTCACAGAGAAGGACGACGAAGAGGCTTACGGGAAGACTGTGTCTTTACGGAGCCCCTTACGGGGAGGGAGGGTCCTTACGGGAAGGGCCAGTCCTTACGGGGAGGGTCCCTTACGGGGCTGGGTCCCGCACGCCGCTGGAAAATGGTCTCGGCTTTCGGTTATTAGCTTTCTAATAGAGGTGTGCTGATCGGGCACACTAAGCTTGTGTACCTCACGTGTGTGGTCAAGCAAGGCCTTAATCGATGGCATCCGTTCCAGGCCCAGACTGGAGGCTTAACCCTCCAGTGGCAGGATGCGATTGTTGAGCAGCCTGTCTGGCCGCTCGCAGCGGAGCTGCTCGGGCGACTGCCTGGCCTCGGCAATCCTCGCTCGGGCTCTGCTTCAAGCGCTCCAACGAGCCCTCGCTCAGTTTAGGGTTTAGGGTTTAGGGGTTTAGGGGTTTAGGGTTTAAGGTTTAGGGCTTAGGGTTTAGGGTTTAGGGTTTAGGGGTTTAGGGTTTAGGGTTTGGTGTTGTGGGGGTTAAGGAAGGATACTGTAAGGGTTTAGAGGTTTAAGCTTTGGGGTTGTAGGGTTATAGGGTTGATAAGGCTATGGGGTGGTAGGCTAGTACTAGCTGCTACCAATCCTCCCTCCCATTGTTCCAACCCCCTCAAGCGTTTGGCTGCGGTCCCGGGCCGCGCTTTTTCCTAATCCTGGCCAAGGGGAGGGGGGGTGTTATTAATCAAACCCGTACATTAGTCGGTTGAATGGTGAGCTGGTTAGCTATACCAATGCACTGTGGACATGTACATGCCCCTCGCTAGATTCAGACGTGTATGTACATAATATATATATATATATATATATATATATATATATAGACAGACTCAGACACGTAAATATATATATATATATATGTATACATACATATATATATATATATATATATGTATATATATATATATACATATATGTGCGTGCCTCACCTGTGCTTCCGTTTCTACGTACTCGTTGCTCCATTGGTGTTGCCGAGCTTGCCTACAGGTAGACATGGACATACATACGCAGGTGTCTACACATCGGATAGATACACGTGCACATGCATATGAACTTCTCCACCTCCGTGTCAGACATCCAAAGCAAAAGCGTTTACCCGTGTTGAATCTCCATGGGCGGAGAAGCATATCGGAGTTTCCGAAAATTAGGGGTACCTCATTTTGGGGTCCTTATAATAAGGATCCTACTATTCGGGGTACTATATTAGGGGCCCCTATTTTCGGAAACTCTAAACCCTTCTAGTAGCCCTTTAAAGGAACCCTTATTTATGGTACTCTTACAGCAGCCCTTTAACGGAACCCTAAGGTACCCATTAGGGTCCCCTAGTTTCGGAAACTCCCACAACTCCCATATAGTACCCTTGTAGGAACCCTACAGACACTCTTATAGATCCCTTTAAAAGGACCCCCTGTAAGGAATCCTACTTGGAGGTTCACGGGTAGGTATAAGTTTGGTTATAAGTAGGGTAACTATAACTACTACCCATATTAGGGGACCTATAACCCTACTTAAACTACCCATGAACCGCCGAGTATGGTACTATTATAGCAGCCCCTTAACGGAACGCTAAAGCACCCATGAGGGTCCCCTGATATAGCACCCTTATAAAAGCCCTACAGACACCCCCATTAAGGAACCCTAGGGTATAGGCAGCTGCTAGGCGTCGGACACATCGACCGGTCCTTGGTCGGCACTACTTTCCCCATCTGGCCTAAACCATGAAGCTTAAACCCGCGATTGGAAGGTAGGGGTTTAGGCTTTAGGGGTTCGGGGGTTAGGGCTTAGGGGTTAGGTGTTTAGGAGTTTAGGAATTACGTAGGCGTTTAGGGTTTAGGGGCTTAGGGAGCCTTGTCCTTGAGTGAAATAGCCCATTGTACTCGGTACTCTGTGCATCGTGAGATTCGGGCTCGGAGTTCTGGAGGCTGTGCGGTTGATGGTGGTGGTGCCGGTGACAACTGTACTGTGTCGCCCAAGGCAGTGGCGATTTCCATAACGACGATGACGACGACGATGATGCTGATGACGAGGATGATGGTGATGCTGATAACGGTGCTGATGACGACTTAGCTGTTTTGGGGGCTGATATGATGACACGGGCGATGGTGACAATGCTGACCGTGATGATGACTTTGATGGTGCAAAATGATTTCCCGACCGTTGTTCATGCTTTGCCTTTGCCTTTGCTTTGACCCCACCCCCAAAAGCAAACCCTCCCGGTTCTCGAGCCTAGAATGGGGGTTTGCCTCGGGCGATGTTCCAGACCCCCTGCCCCCCCAAAAGCAAACCCCGGTTCTCGGACCGAGAAGCGGGGTTTGCCTCTGGCAAATACCGCCTCTTCCAAACCCAGCTTCGGGTAACTTGGGCTTACTTCGGTAGCATGTGGGCCGACCAGTCTGCGCCAGGTTGAATTCAACTACGGTGCGCCTCTTGCGAGGATCCTGAATAGTGCACTGCGGCATGTTACAGTGTGTAGTATATGAAAGCCTATTATAGCATATTATCTAGTACAAACCAATGAAGTAGGCACTTGGAGGTTCATGGGGTGGTTATAATTCCACAATTGTGACCCACAGTAGGGAACTTATAACCCTACTTATAACCACCCATGAACCTCCAAGTAGGCCCTAAACCCCATACCCTTATAGAATCCCTATAGATCCCTTCAAAGGAGCCCTTTTTACTACCCATGAACCTCCGAGTAGGTATGCTTTGCAGGGACACCGGGGGAAAGCTGGGATCGGGACTTCTCCACCGAGGCGAGGATCGCTTCCTGCGGCGCACGTCAGCTATGGATCGAACCATCTAGTAGCTGGTTCCCTCCGAAGTTTCCCTCAGGATAGCTAGAGTTGAACTGTTTTGTCAGGTAAAGCGAATGATTAGGAACAGCCTAAAGGTATCATACTCTACCATAACAGATCACAACATACTAGAATATACTGTTCTTTCCTATAATATACTCTATCATAACATGTTCAACATACTAGAATATACTGCTCTTTTCCTATGATATACTCAAACACACTGTAATATGCGAAAATGTGCTGCTAAAACCTGTTGTAATATACCGTGCACAGCCTGCACAAACAATCACAGGTGGCTCCGGGTCAAGCGTGCTCCTCGTCCCAAGGCATGATAGACCTCAGAGTGGCATCAACTTCGGCAAAGCGAGCCGAGGACTAGGTCACTAGGTTTCGGGTATCGGTTGGAAGCGCTCGGGACCATGGCATTTTAGCTTCCGATCTTGGGTAAGTTCTGGGGCGAGGTTCATCTTTGCAGCACGAGCTTGCCACAAGAGGCGATCTGCCCCCTGCAAGCAAACGTCTCAATCCCAGAGATGGAATGTATAGAATGTCTCCTGCAAGGACACGATCACCCCTAACTCCCACATCTGCACGCTTCTTCAAACCGAGTGCGGCACTGTAGGTCAATCACCTCACAGCTCAAGCCCTCCTGGCAGTTAGCGACTCGCGAAGTGAGGGCTTAACAGCAAAACATTCTAAGCAATGGCACGCGAGCACATGCATCTAAGATTACAAATCTACAAATCATGACTAACTTTGCACTAGCACGGCTGTCGAATTACAGCTCTGCCAGGGGATGAGGCATGTACATGTAGGATTGTACATGCTACACTGCCTTCGACATCCTCGATCCCCAAACCCCTCAAAGCCTCCCTCAAACATGGCCACGTGCTGATAAAGATCTTGTGCTTCATGGATTCCTTGCTATCTTGCACGAGCAGCATCTGCTGTAATATTGCAGCTCTGACATGCTACGCGGTTGAGGCATCAAGTTTGGTGTTGCTACCTCAACTTGCTCAGCTTATGTGAATGTGTACATATCTACATATATATATATATATATATATATACATACACAAATGTCTGCAAATATATCTATATACGCATATGCGCATGTATGTAAAATATATACATATATGTGCACAAAAAACACATGCACCCATATATACATATACCTGTACATGCACGAGGTTACACTTGTCCATACAACAGCAAACCAAACCATGCCACATCCAAACCAAAGCAAGCCAGCTGAAATCAGTTTTTTCCAACAGAGTGTCTAGTGTTTGATCCCTTGTCGGGCAGAACCACTTGTCTAACAGAACCCCTTGCATTACAGAAAGCGTTGGCGAACATCAAAATCTGGGCTAATCGAAATCATCTGTGCGGCAGACACCTTACCTGACTACTCACTTGCCCCTTTCTTCGCTACACTCCCCTAAGCCCTAAACCCTCAACCCTAAACCCTGATCGTTACCCTAAAAACCCACATGACCCACGGGCGGTTTGTCAACAGGCCTCCTCGAACGGGCTCACTTAAACCCTGAACCCTAAGGCGGAACCGAAAAAACTATGCCCCAAGAAGCATGTAGTATAACATACTATAACATACTATAGCATGCTGTAATATACTATAACACAGATTCGACATCTTTGGATGTCCAAACCAGTAATCATTCGGTGCTTCCAGTTGGACGGCCCAGGGTGTTTGAGGTTGGGGTTCGGGCTTCGGCCATAGCAGTCACATGCCAACCACAGGAAGACCAAATCGGAAAATGATGCATTCCTGTTGCTTGAGCCAATACTAAGATCATGAAGGCCTGGTTTTAAAACCACAACTCTGACATTTGCACCACAGAGAGAGAGAGAGAGAGAACGCCGTTACTAAAGAGGATGTTGAAGAGGTGTTCAAGAAGAACGCTGAGGGGAAGCCAAAGCCTTGTGGCGAGAAAAGTTTTACAGCGCCTCAAGCGCACTTTCAATGTCCACTGGGTCTGTTCTTCAAACGCTTGAAATCGGATTACTTCCGAGCGACGTTGAGAGTAAATGTGCTACGGTTGTACCGATCAAATGCACGATTGCCGCATGATCATCAGTTTGAGGGTTTGGGGCTTCGGTTTCTTCATTTTCGGGTTCAGCACGCCAAGATCCGAGGGGTTCCGTGCCTGAGCCGCCAAGTCTGCTGTCTGCATTAAGCGATGCACCTCGACGGAAGCGAGACAGGGGGTTGCAAAACGATGCAGAACTAGACTGTTCAATGATCTGCATCCGATAGCATCCCCTTGTACCGTGAGATTCATGTGGAGGTTCGCGAAGGCCCATCTCAGCACCAAGCCATGTCAATCCCGGTAGCGATCATTTCCACGAAAGCGGACACTGGGGCTTACGGGGAGTTATCGTCCCTCACGCAAGCAGCCGGCACCCTTCTGCGGAAGAGTCAAGCCTGGCCTGGTTGCCCCAGCCGACGAGGGTCACGTCCGTGCCCTCCCGGAGGACCTCCGCCTCGGCAAGAAAGCCTAAACAACAAAACCGTTCTTTCTTTTTTGACGCCTCTTCTTGGTTCAGGTGTAAATCGCTACAGTTAAGCCCTCAGCCATAAGCCCCAAACAAGCCCTACACCCGAAAGTCAAAGCCCCAAAAGCTTCATGCCTTTGCATGCCAGCCCCACAGGTCGACAGACAGCAGAGTGCGGGTTGCTATCAAAATCACGCCAACACTTGAAGGCTCGCTGGTCTCACGCGTGTACGTCTGAGCTTCGTATAAGAGTTGCAACGAGTTTCATTGATACCGAGAAGGAAGAACAGCACGGGTCCCTAGAACAGAGAACTTGCCTCGTGCTTCAAGTTCGCACCCAGACGCGTTGGGTGCGCATGGCGGCAATGCGGGCACAATGCACTGATCACCCCAGTCGGAAACTGTAGCCCTGCGGCGAAAGTTAGTCACAGCAGAACAAACCGCGTCTTTAGCCAAGTTTTCGCACCTTCTGCCTCAAACCTTGTACGGAATTTGTCTTTGGCCTTCTTTGTGGCAGTGGAGACGAACACAAACATCTAACATCTGGCTTGCCTGGATCCGACGTTGATTCCTCGAACAAACCTGAGTCCTTATCCTGACCCAACTCAACGTGACAGGATAAAACATTATTGGCAGATTCTTGTTACTACTACTACTACTACTACTACTACTACTACTACTACTACTACTACTACTACTACTACTACTACTACTACTACTACTACTACACTACTACTACTACTACTACTACTACTACTACTACTACTACTACTACTACTACTACTACTACTACTCCTGCTACTAATACTACTACTACTTCTGCTACTTCTCCAAAATGTACTCAAGATGAAAACACACAAAGCTGGCCTTGCCGATCGGAATTTCGAAATCGTCCACTGGGACTTCCTTGCGGCCGGCCACAGGCTGAAGGGCTTGGGTGCTTGTATGAGGGTCTAGAGTATGGCTACCGAGGGTCCCGCTAAGGGCTTCTGTAAGGGCCGCTATACTTTGGGGTGATTAGGAGCCTGTGGACAGAAACGAACTCGCTTCAGCTTTTGATGCCAAATGTTTGTCGCTGCTCGGCCTGAGTTGCCATCTATGTTATGTTCGCCCCCGCGACGTTCATTACGACTTCATCTTGGTTTGCCCTCCACTGTGCATGTGGACGCCCCATGTGGCGTGGGCGAAGCCCTCCTGCTGAGGCTTCTGGAGTAGCCTTTCACGAACCGTGCGCAGCCACCCCTGCATCAGTGGCAGCAGAAGTTGATGTCCGCAGAATGATTCTAGAATGTCCCGAAGTCCAATAGCCTCCCACCTTCCCGAAGTTTCTGAAACCCGACAGTCCTGAGCCCTGAGCTCACTCGGAGAGTGCGATCCCTAAACCCAAAGCAGCGCTCAGGATTTGCGAGCCTTCACTTACTGTAGAGGCCTCCGTCTTTGGAACAGGATCTCGGGGTAGATTAAACTATGATTGTGAAGGAACACCAAAATAGTACTGGTAATTCTGTAGTCCCCTACATTATATCCTTCTAGTAGCCCGTATAGTGACCCTTACAGACCCCTTGAAAGGAACCCTACTCCAATTATTTAGGCCCCTATATTAGGAACTTGCCGGAACCGTAAAGCAGCCGAAAGCGACAACTCCGGCCTCGACGGCCTGTCGGTACAGCACCTGAGATGCGGATGCCATAAGTGTATATGTCACATACTATATGTAATGCCTATACATGTATATGTACACACAAGATTACATATATATATATATACATATACTATACATACATTCTGCACATTAGTCCAGATGTTGTTTATTCATCCAACTCATGACTAGTATTTTCGAAGTATTAATTTACGATTATTAAAATGATCATTGTCACTAGTGTTATTATTATTATTTCTGCTACTAGTATTAGTGTTACTATTGCTGTTATTGTTACTAGTAGTAGTTGTCGTTGCGGTAGTAGTACTTGTAGTTGTTGCTGTACGAGTAGTAGCAGTAGTAGTAGTAGTAGTAGTCGTTAGTAGTAGTAGCAGTAGTAGTACTCGTACTCGTACTCGTACTCGTACTCGTACTAGCTAGTACTACTACTAGTACTACTACTAGTACTAGTACTAGTACTCGTGGAGTAGTGGTAGTGAAAGTAGCAGCAAGGGGAGTTCTATCATTTTTATTTATTGCTCCTATCAAAAGTAGAGTAGTAGCAGTCGTCGTCGTCGTCGTAGCAGTCGTAGTAGTGTAAGCATTGTTGCAGATATTATTATTCTGATTACTAGTAGTATTATGTACTATATGTTGTGTAATATACATGAAGAGTTACTTAATACGCTGAACATATACTATACTCTGTATGAGGTGTCACATGTTCTACCATATCTATTCTATACTACATGTTATGAGTTTGTATGTGATATAACATATGCGCAGAACTCTAAAGCGTCTATATGTATATCCTAGATACTATACATTGCATATTACATGTTACATAGTATACACATTGCATAATACATTATGTGTCTATACATCATGTTAGATTTCATATGATACATTACATATCATACACGACATATTGTACATGGTACATTGTGTGTTGCAATGTATCTATATACATATATATATATATATATACTGATTGTATGTGTGTATGTGTGTACGTATGTGTACATTTCTACATTTACAAATATGTGTATATATATATACATATACATATATATATATATATATATACATATACATATATATATATATACATATATATATATATACACAGATACATATAGATATACATATATATATATATATATTTATCTATTTATTTATTTATTTACATACATAGATAGATAGATAGATATACCAGGGCCGGGTTGAGGCTCGGTTTTACATCGTGGAGCCAGGGTTGGTGCACCTTTAGGGCCTAGGCCTGCTTCAACACCTACGTAAATAGCAACAGAACCGGTCGGATGTGCATGCACAAATTGACGCGCAAAGACATGTGCGCATGCACATGGAAAGATGTACACATGTGTAGACATGAAGTGCACATGTGCGGTCTCAAAAATGCGTGTATGCACTCGCGCACAAAACCAAAAGACAGAGGGATGATCCCAGCGATGCAGGCGAATTTGCACGAACTTGATCTGCACATTCCTGAAGCCGGCAGCCTTTAGCCGGCAAGCCCTGAACCCGAAACTCCAAGAACTTGAAGCGAGGCACTTTTGGCTCAAAGACCAACGTCGGATCTGGACCTGCAAGCTATGGCACCAGCTCTTGAAACTTTGTTGGAATAATAGGGCTAACAACAACACCATCATCAGAATGAAAATAGAAATGAACACCAAGGCCAAGAGACATATATATATATATATATATGTATACATATACACATATGCATGCAGATATATGAAAAAGATGTACTGATATGTATGTTGGGGTTTGTGGCTTCGGGGTGGAGATTAACAATGATGTTGGCGCTCAGGCTCCTAGTCCCAGAGGGTGTTTCAGGCTTGGGGAGCAAGGTCCGTCCTTAGTATGTGAACCGGAACCTAATAGTAATCAGGACAAGAATAACAAACAAACATACCGATGTCAACTCTTATACAATAGTAATCTTGCAATCAGAACAAGAAAACAGCCCAAACCCTAAACCTTCGTAGTCAGAATAAGAATAACAAACACACCGATAACAACTGAATTATACTAGTAATTTGTAATCAGAACAAAAAATTGCAAACATAAATATATCAACAAATATAAGTGCACACACACACACACACACACGGACGGACGGACACCGAAAGCCATGAGCCCCAAGCTCCGAATCGCCGCCAGGAGAAGGCCCTTGGCTTGGACGGGGCCTCTGGGGACCACCTGAGGCGGTACTTACGCAGGGCTTATTAAGGCTCGTTTTTTGGGCTTATTAGGTCTCTGTTCTAGGGTGTGTTAGGGCTTATTAGGGCTCTGTTTTTCGGGTTTGGGGTTTAGAGCTTTCGGGGCTGTGGGCTGAAAGGGTTCAAGGCTTAAACACCCTCGGGGCGTGGGAAGGGCTTGGGGCTTCAAGGGTTCCCGGGCGAATGACTTTAAGGGGGCGAACAGGTTTTACGGCCTGAAGGGTAGGGGCTTTTAGGGTGTATGCAAGGCTTTTGCAGTTGGGATTCTTTGAGGAGTCAAGGGCTGAAAATACTTTAATCTGGGGCTGGAAAGGGTTTAGGGTCTAAATTCGTGTAGACTTTTCGGTGCAGTCGGGTTGCAAATGCTTGAAGTTTAAAAGGGTTCGAAAAAGTTCATGCCCACACGGCATCATATAGACCGGTGTTAAGATGGTCTTCACGGTTTTGGCTTACGAGGTTAAGGTGTCGTGGTTTAGTGCTGCGGGGTGTCGGAGTTGGCAGGCATGGACGTCATGAGTCAGGGCCAGCTATGGGGGCAAACGTTTAGGGATGGGGATTCAGGGCTCTAGCTGTTGATAGCAGACGCACCTACCCAGATTCTCAAACAAAGCAAGTACTGCTTGCAGGAGCTTATCGGAAACACACGCTGATGGCTTCATCCCTTTCCGCAGAGCGGTTCGCGAGAGTGGCTTGCGATGCAAAGATAATGTCAAGCCGGCTGGGTGTGGAAGAGGGCCGGGTTTCGGGATTCACGTCCAGGGTTTGGGCTCGCCGGTGCGACTTTTGCATCGAGATCAGCAGAGGTTTGCATCATCAGTTCCCAATGGACTTCTAGTGCCACACGATGTTCCGCCCAGCTCTTCACTGAAGGCTGGGGGTCCTTCAACCTTCCTTGCCTTAATAGGGTTTTTGGGGCCCATTTACCAAGTATTAACAAAAAACCAAAATAGAAAAGCCTCCACAAACTAAATACGTCCCTGAGAGTCCCAAACCCGAAACATCAGGGCTGCGGCGATGTTCAGTCCCGGACAGTGAGTGAAGAAGGCCTCACGAGGATGCAGGAGCTGCAGCGCTTCGTCAAGTGCTTAGGATTTAGATTTGGGTGGTTCTCAAAATTAGGGTCCTTTTTGGGGTACCCTAAATATTCGGTGCCGTACTGTATTAGGGACCCAAGAAGGGACCCCAATATTGAGAACCACCCATTTAGGATTTCGTATGTAACGAAGGGTTTGGGGTTCAGGACTGATGTGGGTCCGAAAGTGGGAGGACTAAAACACTTTCAATCCCCAACACACCGACAATGTCCATCTCCGTCAGCCCTCCTACATTTCTTCTCCGATCTTTCCCTCAAACCGCAACCCGGCAGCCGGAAAAGCGCGGGAAAGCCCAAGATGCCCCTGAGCCACCATACTTGGAGGTTCAGGGGGTAGTTATAAGTGGGGTTATAAGTAGGGTAAGTATACTTATAACCCATAGTAGGGGACTTGTAGCCCTACTTATAACTACCCATGAACCTCCAAGTAACGGCTATCCTCTATACCTTTCTGGCCTCTGGTGACTGGGAGTGGTAGAGCCCTCCGTGGCCAACCGCCCCAGAGGGCATGCCTTGGCCCAGCGGAAGTCTCAAGAATGCAGGGCATTCCACAGTGGT